TCTTCATTATCTGAATCATATGTGACCTTCCTCAGGTTTTCCACATCCAAGTAAAGTTTTTTATAACCTGTTATTTGCAGTAAGGACATATGCAGATTTGTCTTAAACCTGGAATAACAACAAATAACAGAAGCTACTAAGAGGGATTCTCAGCCATAAATTCTTGCTTGAACAACGTTAAGAGAATTCCTAAGCACAACATGACTGTTACAATTTGGAAGGGCTTTACATTTATATTTCATACTTCAGCATCCTGGTATTGCTATTTGGATCCTGTTTCTACTTATAAAACTGCTAACTGTTTTGAGAGCTGCACAGTCGAGACCTTTTCACTGACATGCAGGGAAGTAAGGCTCCTCAGCTAAAATCTCTGTCGACACAACAACTCCACACATCATCCTGACTACTGTACCTGCACCTACCCCCAAGCTTTTTGTAAGCCTCGATCCAAACTATGATATAAATGTTACAACTTCAAAGACGAGTTTCATTCTGAATAGTCAAACTTCTAGTTCAGGCATTGCCCTCAATCACTCCTAATTACTTCTGGAGAGGAATGCAAACTATAATCAAGCATCATTATATTCTTTCAAATGTATCTGAACAACTACAAAGTTCATGTCACAACTTCTGTGATAACGCTACTTACCAGCAAGGAGTAGCACAAGTGACCTGTGAGATGCAGAGGTGGTTATCACCAACTCCTGTCAAACTAAACTTTGCAATTTATTTTCCAAAACTTCAACAGGACACAGCTGTACCTTATTTTCTAACCCTACAGAAAGGCAAGTGCTGAACTGTCTACTGATTCTATCAGACTAAGCAACAGCAGGAATGTCTCAAGTCAGAACTGTTGGGCTTGAAGACCCCACATCAGACTTCCAAACGTACCTGAAATCCTTCTGTTCAATTTTCTTTTCTGTCATTACATCTCTGACACACTTCTCTATTTCAGTTTCATCAGCGTTTAGAGCATTTCTTAGAACCTAAGAAGTTCACAGAGTAGAAGACCCATGAGGAATGCACAAATTTATGCAGAAAATTATCACCTGTTTTACTCTTGTTACTTCTCAGTCTCTGGATGCCTGTCACATAAGTATTCTTTAACAACTATGAAAAGCGAACAGTTGATAAATTGAAAATGTGTCTGATAAATGTGCTCAAATCACATGCAAGATCTTCAATAATTAATTATTAAATTTCATTTCAATAAAAACATGTAATTTGTAGGTGACCCACAAAAAATAAAACACCCAGGTTTACGTTCTTGTTTCATAGAATGATAGAAAAGAAAGGCCTGGGTTGAAAAGGATCCCTGGGTTGAAAATGATCATCCAGTTTCAACTCCCTGCTGTGTGCAGGGTCACCAACCAGCAGACCAGGCTGCCCAGAGCCACATCCAGCCTGGCCTTGAATGCCTCCAGGGATGGGGCATCCACAACCTCCTTGGGCAACCTGTTCCAGTGCCTCACCACCCTCTGTGTGAAAAACTTCCTCCTAATACCTAACCTAAACCTCTCCTGTCTCAGTTTAAAACCATTCCGCCTTTTTCTATCACTATCCACCCATGTAAACAGCCATTCCCCTTCCTGTTTACATGCTCCCTTCAAATGTTTGCCTTCAAAGGCTGACCTGAAAGATGATCTTCCTAATCTTGATCTAAATAAATGCAGCTGTCAAGGAGCAAAAGTGACAAAACTTCAATAAGGAAACAGTGCTTCAAAATTAGGAGACAATAAACTAATAAAATTGAGGTACAAGCCCTGAGCTGAAACAGCAGAACTCAATACAAAATTCTGCCATTCTACAGCCTTCTAGAACAAAGGGCAAACGCTAACAATAACTACACCCTGCCCATCTGAAGTCACTTAGCGACTACTTTATTTCTTCTTCTGAACTTCTCATGGTCGCAGTGCATTCTCAATACCATTAGCACTCACACCAACACCATTCTGTTTCATTAAGGCCAGAGGTAAGTCCTTTAGAACTGAACTGAGAGATGCTCAAAGACCCATCCATATGAAGAGATACACATTTGAGGGTGTTGAGTGTTAACTACGGTATCTAACTGCTAAGGAACACTCAGCATGAGCCTGTTAGTTAAAAGCCTACCTGCAAACTTGCACTTTTCCCAATGATTAGAGAATGTACTGTACAGGTGGCACAAAACTGCTCTCTCTGTATCACCTGCCCACGTCCCATTGCTGGTTTCTGCAAAACCAGCCTGGCAGACTGCTGTGACGGGGAGAGGTGACCTTCTCCATGACAAATAACTCAGTGCCACGATTTGTCTGACTGCTGCTGAGGAGCAATGGAGGGATGTAGGTGCTGGCATGCAGCACCCACAACAGCGTTCTTCTCCCTCCATCTCTTCCTCCTCTACTTTTTTCCTCCCTCAAAAAGCATTTTCAGGCACCTGCCTCTGTAATAAAGTTGATAATAACAAACATTTACCTCGCTTTTCCACAATTTTATTATTTTTAATAATTACCTTATTTTTTGATGATCCCAGTGAATGCTCTGCAATGATAACACAAGAAAAGTCACTTTTACCGAACGGGTTTGGTTTTATTAGTTCCTAGTAGGCATTCTTGTATTATTCTGAGCAATTTTTTGGATGACACGGGCAGGGCGACATTAAAACCAACAGGTACCGAGCAACCGAAAGCCTTCAACCATTCGCTGGTTGTTGCTGATGCTTGTTGTCGCAGTACTGAAATCGGACTCGCGTTTGGCGGCATGCGACCCGCCTCCCTCCTCTCAGAAATGAATCAAGTGCCTTGTTTTATTGCGTGGCTTTTTTTAACGGCGTCAGGGTACCAACAGCGAACGGCGCCGGGTTCCCCTCAGGCACCACTCGCCCATCTCGCAGGACGTACGCGGTGACGTCAGCACGCACACGGCTACGCACGCGCTCCCGCTGCCGCCCCCCCTCCCCCGTTTACCTATGCCCAGCGTCCGCCGCGCGCCCTCCTTCGCGCCCTCAAAGACGCGCTGCAGCTCGCACTTCCCCGTCAGCAGCCGCCAGAGCCACTTCAGCCAGAACCGGAAGTAGCTGCTGTACAGCAACCCCCACAAGCGCGCCAACATCTCTGCCCGCGGGGAGCTCCCCTTGCCGAGGAGCTGCCGGCGCCCCTCAGCCCCGCGGGCCGGCAGCGCTCGGCGCCCCGCAGCCTCCCGCCGGAAGCCGCCCGGTGCCTTCCTGACCTGGAAGTGATGACGGGAAGGGGGGGACGGAAGTGCCGGCTGCGGGGCTGCCGGGGAACGGCGGCTGGGAGGGGAGGGCGGCGAGGTTCCCGCCGCTGTAGCGGTGTGGTGCGGACCTGGAGCTGCCGCGCGGCCGCCCGTCAGTCGTAGGCATGGTGGGGATGGGCTGGATGATCCTGGAGGTCTTTTCCAACGTTAATGATACTGTGGAGCTTTCTTCGCCACAGGATCAGCCCAGGTGTTTGGTTTAGGACTGGCAGGCGCCTCCGTTGTTTTCCTATGAATGGTTATTTTAGTAAACATGGGCTGAACCTTGAAGAGTGGCGGAAAGAATTCCTGTTCGTCTAAATTGTATGCAGTATTTTATTGGAGAGCAGGATGGGAGCTGACAGACTTGCTTGACCACATTCTGAGACGTTTATAAATGGGTGGAAATAGAAGCACCTTTCGCACACAATCAGAAGCCACATGGCAGGTCTGGTGGCCTGCATCCCAAGGGTGGTTCCAAGGGTGGACCAACACATTTGGTATCTGGCCCTTTGTATTTTTGCAACAGCAGGGATGCAGAGTTTCATGTGGGGGAATCGCTGTCAGTCAGCTTCAGTTGTTTGATTTCAGTTGTTTGGCTTAACGTGAGCCTGCAGTGTGCCCTTGCAGCTCGGAAAGCAAATGGGATCCTGGGCTCCAAGAAGAGGGGTGGCCAGTAGGGACAGGGAGGTGATTGTCCCCCTCTACTCTGCTCTTGTGAGGCCCCATCTAGAGAGTACTGTGTCCAGGTCTGGAGCCCCCAGTAAAAGACAGCTGTTAGAGAGGATCCAGAGCATAGCCACGAAGATGGTCAGGGGACTGTAGCACCTCCCCTATGAAGACAGGCTGAGGGAGCTGGGCTTGTTCAGCCTGGAGAAAAGAAGGCTGCTGGGTGAACCTCACTGCAGCCTTTTAGTACCTAAAGGGAGCCTACAAACAGGAGGGGAGTCAACTCCTTGAAAGGGTAGATAACAGCAGGACAAGGGGAAATGGTTTTGAGGGTGGGAGGGGAAATTTAGGTTGGATGTCAGGGGAAATTCTTCACAGAGAGAGTGTTGAGGTGCTGGAACAGGCTGCCCAGAGAGGCTGTGAATGCCCCATCCCTGGAGGTGTTCAAGGCCAGGTGGGATGGGGCCCTGGGCAGCCTGGTCTGGTATTAAATGGGGAGGTTGGTGGCCCTGCATATAGAAGGGGGTTGGAGCTTCATGATCCTTGAGGTCCCTTCCAACTCTGGCCATTCTGTGATTCTGTGACTTCAAGTCTGATTCCCTCTTTGTGGGGAGAGCTCCTTAGGTACAAGGAAAAAGTCTTTTACAGTGAGGGTGGTGAGGCTCTGAAACAGGTCACCTAGTGCTGTGGTTGATGCCCTGTCCCTGGAGGCTTTCAAGGCAAGTCTGGATAAGACCCTGGGCAACCTGATCCAGCTGTGTTGTCCCTGTTCATTGCAGGGGAGTTGTACTTGAGGGCCTTCTAACTCTAAGGATTTTATGGTTCTATGAGAAGTGATGTGTGTTAAGAGATGGCAGGTGGTCATTCATTTTTTCCAGTGTTGCTTCTTAAATGAGTCATCTGACTCTTAAAACACTGGAGTGCTACAGGATAAAAATAAGCTAGAAAGTATTTCTCTTATTTGGTGACGGGGGTGTGATGGTTGTTGTCAGAACAATCTTTGCTTCAGCAGCAGTGCTGTGTTACTGCTTGGGAAGATGGAGGAGTTGCAACGATGTGAAGAAACACGGGTAAGAAATTGAAGGGTGATCAGGTCCTTCCTGTCAGTCTCCATGCCCACACATTGATTGCTCTGAGATAGCTGATGAGGAGCAATAGCTGCTGGATTTAGTTCGAAAGTCCAGCAGGTGCATCCTCACAGTGTGGGTCTGTGCAAACGACGTGTAGGGGAATCTCAGCAGATGGCAGTTTTGTTGGTGGGTACCAAAATAAAGCCTTCCTACAATCTGGTTTAGGAGTTCAGCTTTCCGTTGGGTATTTTTAATTACTCGGAAATATCTTCATATCAGTATGGCTCCTTTGTTCTTTCTTTTCAATTATGTTATTTATGCTTACATAGAAATCCCTTTTTGTATGGATTATTAGGAACCAAAGGCACATCTTTTTGTGCTTCAGGTTTTGGAAATTGTTTCGTTTTGTCTTGTGGTAATCTTTAACTATAGACATTCAGAGCACGCTACTGTTGTCTTCTCAGTTCTGACTGCAAACAGTACCTGGTGTTGATGATACATTATGATTAGACCTGTTGCATTAAGCATAAAAAATGCATAGGTCTCATTTTGAAGTGCTTCTGAAATGCCCCAGTGTGCAAGAACCAAGTTTTAATCTAACTTCTTATTTTTTTTACTCATAAAATATATTACAATCTGCATTTGGAGCACAGGCTGTAACCAATTATTACTTTAAAAATAGAGCATGCATTTTTGATATTTTTTCCACAGCTTTTTATGAATTATTAAAAAGATGCAGTGCCTAATTGCTGTAAATATGGCGAAAGGTAAAGGTGATGATATATAAGTCATGGATTTCATGCACATTAATGTCACTTTCTGTTCCAACCTTGATGGTCCTTTTCAGTGTCTAACAAGCAAGTGCAAACTCTTAACCCATAGCTTCATTTGGTTCTTTTTTGCAACTGAGTGGTCCAGCAGAGGACGTCTGCCGACACAAATGCTTCTGGTTCAGTCTGCATCATCAGTTACATTAGGACATTCAACAACATAAAAGGTAGCTTAAGAAAACAGTCCTGATTTCTTCTTTTTGTGTTCAGTCGGTGCCTTCTACTACCACCTTCAGAGAGACTTGGGCTTCAGGAAGGATAATGACCTACTGTTCACCTTTTAAAACTACATTTCTTAAATGACAGCAGGGCAAATACTTTAGCCAGCAGTATCAGCTGGATCTCTATAGTCACAAAGCGTTCCATGGCAATGACTGTTACCTATTGTTACGGGTAGTTATTCTTTCTTTGTGTACCCTTGGAGATGAAGGACGGCAGCAACGTGCAAGCAGAATAATCCTGTTAGTTGTTTCACCTGTGAGCCCGTGTTTTGTCAAATATTTATTTTAATCTTTCTTATCTCTATTCTTGCTTTCGCAGAGATATGTGAAAATAGTACTGAAAATGCAACTTTTAAGAAGAGACGTTCAGTTAAAGCACACGAGGACGAGCCTAGAAACCCCTTCTGACAGGTAAACCATCTCAGTGGAAGCAGCCTGCTGAACTGCTAGCTCAGTAGAGGCGGTAGGGTTACCCTGTGCTAATATGTTCTACTTATCTGCTCTTACCAGTTGGGTGGTTGTTGTTTTTTTTTTTAAATTATCAGTATGCCAAAAATGCTGCTGAGAGGTAAGAAAAGGAAAGTAAAAATGCACATTTTACACTGGTCTCAAGTAGTTCTCGAACATCTGCAGTGTATGAAGAAAGCACTGGGAGGAAGATGTTAGGAAAACATGAAGCAAGTAGGAGAGGCCACTTGCAAGCAGGTCCTGAGGCAGTGGAAGTATTTCATGTTTCCACTGATGAGCTATTTGGATTTATTACTTTTTTATAGAAGCAGTTAATGTAGTACCTCATCTAAAGTTAATACACCAGTCTTGGTCAGCATAGAGTGAATGATCATTACAAGTCAGCATGGCTAAATATCTGTTCTAGAGTTGTCCTTATAAATAACAGCTAATGCATTTAGATGTTCTCTGAACAATATGCAGGCTGATCAGTAGCTATGTGATGGTGATACTTTTCTAACTGGCTCTGAAAAGAAACTAAAATATATGTTAGATGTCTGCTATTCTTGCCTTCAGTATCCCTCCATCATATGCATGTTCACCTTGGCTTGGTAATGTAAGCACAGCAGGCAGCCAGCTAATAGGCATTCAATTCATTGTGTATGACATAGTTAATGTTTATCTGTTTCTCATAGGACTACACATCTATTTTACTAATAACATGTCAAAAACTGCACTGATCTTCCATTCAAAAGAGTGTGCTGAGCTTTTCATGTGTAAACTTGGAGAGAAGTGGCACTGAGGAGGCAACAGAGCCTAAGGGTGCTGAGTTGTAGTCACACCGGTTAATAACAAGAATTGCTGACTCTTAAAGCAATTGTAATTTCAAGAAGATTTCTCAGTACAAATATCAAAGCAAGATACAGTGAAGGAACAGAAGGATAACAGGTGGAAGAGGGCAGTGTAGTGACTGAGTACAGATCAGGAAGAGTAAGTCTAGCTTCAGGTTTCCAGGTGATTCACAGAGCCATGCTCAGAGCTGAAGTTATCTACACAGATACAGGCCACCTAATGGTCCCCTGTGCTATTAATGAATAATAAGATTTGTAACTCAAAGTATCTATTAAATGGAGAAGTAAACCTGTCCATAGAAATGTTCTAAGACAGGAAGGCTGCTGTAGCCTTAAAAAAAATGACTGATTTGCATGGGAGGTAGACCTGTGAACAGCTGTTGAGCGTGTCATAGTGAAAGCCAAAAACTGCTCACGGATAGGTGTGAAAATGACATTTTTTTTTTCTCATAAGAGCTAGTGGCTCCATTAAAACTATGTCCGCAGAGCAGGATCTGGGAGGCTCTGTGAGCAGGATTGCCCTTCCTTTATGTTATGGGAAATGTGTTCTGCTGCCAATTGCTCAGAATGGTAGATTGGCTTAGGTTGGAAAGCTCCATCTGGTTCTATCCCCCTGCCGTAGGCAGGAGCACCTCCCACTAGAGCAGGTTGCTCACAGCCCCATCCAGCTACCCTTGGAAGCTTCCAAGGTAGGAGCGTCCAAAACCTCACTGGGCTACCTGTTCCAGCATCTCACCACTCTCACAGAAAAGAACTTCCCAATATCTAGTCTGAATCTACTGATTGAGTTCAGACCTCAGCTGAAAGTGCATCCTTCACCAAAGTCAGAATCTTCTTCGGTATCCAGTGCCTCCGTACAGCAACACGATGAATTCCAGCCGCTACATACGGGTCTGCTGGTTTGCTTAGGGAGTGCCAAGGACGTGCAGGGGAAGAAAAAGGTGTGTGTCTCCTAATGGCTGCCAATGGTTTACCTGTGTGCTTTAGATGTCATCTAGTTACAGTTTACCTCACTTTTGCAACGAGGTGGTAACTGGAAGGCTTTGTTTCCCCAACTGACCGTGTACGTTGCTGCTGGACCTCTTGGTACGATCGTACACGGAACGTGCCACCTGCACCGTTGGTTCTAAACGCCTACAGACAAAGCGGCGTCGTAACCACCAGCAACGTAACCACGTCGATGCCGGGATTCGAGCTGACAGCCGACCCATGCCGCAGCCGGGGCTGAGAAGTAGCGGCGGGGCCGTTAGCGCCCGGGCCGGGCGGGTGCCTCGCTGCCTGAGGGGAGTGGGGGGAACCGGGGGCGGGCGGCTCGGAGCGGACACGCCCGTCGGGCGAAGCCGGGCGGCCGGCGGGTAACCGGGCACAGGAGGCGGGAGCGCCCCGCCGGGAGATGCGGCTGAGGAGCGGCCGGCTGCTGGCTGCGCTGTGCCTGGGCGCCGCCTTCCCGCTGCTGTGGTACGCGGCGCTGCAGGGGAGCCGAGGTGAGAGCCGCCGTCGGGTGGAATGGGAAAGCCGATGCTGTTTGCCGCAGATAAACTGGAAATCTCTCCCTGATGCCCTCAGAGCCGGTAGATGGCTTGTTATGGGATAGCTCGTTTGGGATGGGGAGAAAGAGTAAATCTTGAAGAGCTGTACGTTTTCAAAGTGGGCTGGATTTACAGGTGCAGAAGATTTAAAGTAAGCCAATTATTAATTAATTACACAGAACTCTTGTCCTCTGTTCCGTTTTGCTTATATTGATCGTTTTTGTGAGCAATAGAAGTGGACTTGCAACGCAACGCTGAGTATTGCTGAGCAGTGCTGATCTCCCTGCCTGTGTCATTTCTTGTCAACCTTACGGCACTTGACACTTCAAGTGGCAATTGTGCTAACAGTGGGGTAAGAGAAAGTACAAATAGACATCTCTTAAGAAACTGAGATCCAAGAGATGATAGAGTGCTTGTCCTAAGCACAGTTAACATCCCTGTCACTGTTCTGTTGTGGCATGTGTTTTGTGACACCTTTGCTGAAATGCTGTTTTTATTCAGCTTCCTTTGTGCCCCTTCTGTGCTGGTGTGCTGTGGGTTGCTAGGTTTGTACCTTTTTATGGGTGTGTTTATTCTTTCTTTTATTATCTGTATATTGGTTTCTGCAGATGGCTCCTTCTCCATAGCCAACTCCTCTCAGATAATATAACTTTCCTAGTTATTTTAACACCAGTGTTGTTAACAAGCTTTTAATTGCTCTAAATGTTAATACAATGCTCAGAAGCATTCTCTGTTGAACTTGAAACATCTCACAGATGTGCAAAAAGTTAATAATCTTATCTAAAGGAACATATGGTAAGTTAGTTTGTGCTGGTAATTTCACTGGAAAGATGCCATTTGTGCTCCTGAGCATTGCTAGAAGATAGTAGTTTCCCATGTATGCCACCTGGAACCCCACAAACCAGCACGTGTTGTTCCTTTTTTTTTTTTTTTTTTTTTTTTTCCCCAATGAGAGAAGGATTGGGAGCAAACCAAACACTGCCCCACTGTCAAAGCAGAGGACCTGCCTAAGCATGGGCTTGAAATGAATGCTTCTTCCCGCAGCATTTACCTCTGCTCCGATATCGCTCAACCTCTCCTTCCCCCCACTGAACTTCATGAGGTACACCCAGAGCACTGCAGGAGTTCTGCTTTGCTCTTGTCTCAAAGGTGATTAGTTTGTTTCCTAATGCCCTTTTCACTTACCTCACCTGTTACTGAGAGGTCAGGTGCTGTCCGATTGCTTGTCACAGCTCCCATTTCTTTCACCAGTTTGTCAAATGTGCTTCTTTAGCTCTTTTTTTTTTTTTTTTTTTTTCCAACCTCCACTTGCTTTTTCTGCTTATCTGATGCGCCTGTTAAACCATTTAGGCTGTTCTTGGTCTTTGAAGGGTGTGTATCACTGAAGTATGCCCTTTGCTTTATGGTCATCCATGGTTTCTTGAGTTGTGGTGTTAAACACTGAGCTTGTAAGTGAGCTTTTTGGTTTGTTGTCTAACAAGGCATCGCTGCTCAAAAATAGTGATCCTATGTACTCTGATAATACAAGTGATATCTAATAGCCTTGTATACTGTTGTGCAGTTTGTTTGTAGCATTCCAGCCCTTCAGTATTAGAAGTGTGAATCAGACTCTGTGCTGATTTCAGTGCAGCTCAGAAGTAGAGACCTTTAAATGCCTGGTACTAACGTGCTAGTTACCTGGGGAGATTCTGACTGAAAGGGTGAGATGTAATGCGACTACAGGTAACACAGACTGGCATTGCAGGGACAATGTTCATCATCAGTTCCACCCTTAGAAATGAACATTTAGTATCTGACAGAGTCACTAAGCTGCAGTGGACTTTGATCCTTGCCTCTAATATTATAAGCATTTTAACTATACTTGAAAAGTTTTCTCATTCAGTTTTCCCTTACTTTATAAACAGGTACAAGCAGAGGTTTCAGGTTCAGCAGGCTGACTGCTTCTTGTGGCAGGAAAATGATAAAAGTCATTACAAAGACAATTGGTAATGGCCACATCTGCAGCAAATCATGTTACAGTTTGTCTGTCCAAACTTGTATGGTGATTCTTTTAGCATTCTCCAGAGTGCTTGCAGATGTGGGCTGCTATTACCAACCAGCCTTGTTGACTGGTGGAGCAATACCTGTCCCACATCCTGCGTGGTTTGGATCTGTGTTTTTTGGTCCCTCCCAAGGCCCTAAGCAAGACCTGTCTGAAGCAAGCAGTTTGCATCTGAGGGTAAGGAGGGCTGTGACCAGGATGATGCAGATGTTTCTGCTGTTACACAACCTAGTTACAACCTGCTTATTAATTCACCTGGCCAGAATTATGTTCCTTCATATAAAGACTCATGAAAATTTATAGTTATGGAAAATAGTATGTGTGTTAATAACAATGTATATAGTGATTTTCTTGTACAGTTTCAGTTAGGGTCTTGCATGGAATACCACAGGTGCATCAAGGTAGAAGAGTAAGCCTAAGAAGGTCACAGATCTTTTTTGAAAGCCAAGAGTACATTATAAATTCATTATGAACTCACAGGAAATTTGTTCTCTGAAAAGACTATTTCCAAATTAGAAATAACCTCAGTGATGTGACAAGTAA